AGAGGAGATTACGTGTGCAGGTCCAACTTTGAAGGTGGCGGCGTTTTTTTGTTGTGCCACAAGAAAAAAATTTATGGGCCCCAACCCAAAAACCCCATTCGAAAACCCACACTTGGTAAAAATTTCCCCCGGCAACGTAACCCCAAAATAATCAAAACCCAAAAACCTTCGTTTTTTTTTTGTTTCCGGCAAAACCTGGTTTTATTGTTTTTTACAAAAATTCCGACCCATTATGAAAAGTCCACAATGCCCCCCTAAACCCTGCCTAAAAGAACAGCAAAAAAAACAAAATGTTAAAAGTTTTCAAGTTAATTGCCCCAACTTTTTTTACAACAAAAATGTTAACGTTAAACCTAGTTTGTGTGGAAAATATGTCCATAAGCCTCATATTGGTGGTGTTGAGTTCAATGGGAGGTGTCTTCTCCAAGGGAATGTCCTCATAAACAGGAGGTATCTCAGTCTGGCCTCTCTTCCCCTTCCTATGACAGTGACCATGACATTGAGTCAGTAGAACACCAAGTAGCAGTCCAGCAGTGAAGCTACACACTACACACACTACTCCTGTTGTGGCCACTGCTTCTGCTGTACTCAGAGCTGCACTGGCACTCTTTTTGCCATCTTCATTCATAGCTGTGTCACAGTAGCTATCATGAGCATGCATGCATAAGCTTTGCGCACTGGGTCTTACTGGTAGTGTCACTGATACTGAGGGAGCTGGCAGGTTTAAGTGTAACTGATATTGTCAATTTACTTAAACTTAATCGAATGCTTACTTGATGGCAGTACACAGGTGACATCATCACTACTAGGCAGCCATGTTAGAGAAGGGAGAGAGCATGTGGCCACAGTCTCTCCCACCAGAACCAGGTGGGTGTCACAGGAGTAGGTGACCTGTGCTCCTACTCTGGAACTGGTCCACTCACCAACACTGCCATTCACTGGTGGACTGGGAGGACCACAGCCAGCTGAGGGAGAGAGCCAATGGAATAGTTTATCTCTTCACTAAGTGAGACAACTTGCCAACAAAGACTTCCTCAGTGACCTCTGCACTAGTGCCTGCACAGTTGATGGCTGAGACTCTGATTTCCAGAGGAATGTTGTACACTCCCTCTAGAACTACAGTTGTATTGGTAGTGGTGATGGACTGTGTAGTGGTGTTGGTCAGTATTCTGTACTCATCAACCACTTCATCTTCCCCTGACTCCCAGGAGATGATGATGAAGAAGTTGTCAGGTTGGAAATTCTCTGTTCTCACTATCATATTAGATGGAGGAGATGGTGCACCTGTATTAGAAAAGTTGCACATGCACATTCCAAAGATGGAATGATATTGTGGATTTCAACCTATTTCTTACTTGTTTTTATGATGGTGAGGTGGTCTTCATCATGGAAAACCTGACAAGTGATACTGGTTCCATTGCTGATATTACCCTCCATCACCTCCAGAGTAGAGGTGAAGTCAGCAACAGCTCCATTGACATTATCTACCGACACTAGAGTCAGAGTGTAGGGACTTCTCTGAACTGTTCTGGTCTCCTCAGTCTCATAATCATCGGCAAAGAATGTGTAGAATTGGTGTCTTGTCTCCATGTCAGAAACGTCTGTTCACTGGCAGTACAGGTGAGGGTGACAGTGGTGGCAGGACAGACTGATATGATACCATCCTCAGATGATGGAGAGGAAGACAGGGAGAAACCTTGGATACTAGTACTTGAAAGGTAGATAAAGAGTCAACATAGTGAACATACATACTGTGCCGATTTGTTAGCTATACTTGCAGCTCACCATAGGCACAGCAGTATTAGGCAGTTGAAGAATGGTGAAGTGGTATAACGATTTCTGTCCAGCCACATTATGAAGCAATCAGGCTAGGATATGTGCAGTCAGCACTTACTACTGACCTCTTGAACTCTAGAGAATGTGCCTTTAGCATGCATGCACTAGTGTTGATAATAGAAAATTGGACAAGTTGCTGTAGGAAAAAGACTGGAATGTCATAATATAGTAAACTCAAAAAGGACTGTAAAATGGATGAGGACATTATGAGAGACTGCAGACTTCATTAGGTGTCTTCTCCAAATGACTTATCACTAAGTACAGGGTAGTACTTAGTATATAGGGATGGTCATGGTACCTAGCATAGATATATGGGGCTATGATAGGGAGTTTTGTTCATCTTCTTCTCCTCAACCAGCATAACTCAAAAACCGAAGAGATGAAAAGCACTGAAGTGCAAACCCTCGGCGAACTGCGCATGCGTGATACCGCTAATTGATCATCCATCTCTCTTCCACATCCTCCGTGTTGTCAAAGAAAACCTATGGATACAAATCTGGGATGTGGCTCTTGAATATGGGTACGATGGATCCAAAACATCAATGGCTATTCTGAAATCACTCTGTCTCAGTCTTCAGTGATTGACACTGCCCTATGCATGACTGTGCATACACTGTTCCATGAGATACTCTGCTGTGGTGTTGGAATGCCACACAGATTTTGACTCAGTATTACCCCGGACTACATCACCGACTGTGCATTCTTTCATGTACATCATGAGCCTTATCACATTAGGTCAGTCACTTGTAAAGGTTGTACCATTTTAACAAACTCACGTCAGTGTTTTATTTTATTCTAGAGTATCTCACTCTTCCCTGTATGGGGTATAAAATATATTTTGACTTTTGACTTTTTGGGCTGGGCTAGTTGTGGTCTCCTGCTAGAGTAGCTCGCGGAGAGTCTGACATGGGCTAGCTACGGTAGTAGATAGCATGCGGGAGTCGATACACGCCATTCGTTGTGACTTCTTGTGCCTCCAAGGTACACAAAGCAAGCGGACCCGCAGAAGAGCCAGGCAAACAGAATACACACATCAAGGACTCCACACCACACATTAGCAAAGGGTAAGTGCAAAATGATCCCAAATGAGAACCAGCATGCACAAGAACAACAACTCACTGCACTCACTGTTTAAAAGCTATTATTGAAAAGGTGCCAGGACTTCACAGCCCAAGGCAAAGGTCTGTAGTCACATTACCGGGACCCAGACGACTCCCATAACATTGATTTTAGATTCAGAAATATTCCCCAGTAGGGGATGGGCTGCCACTAGCAACAGTGCAAGACTAGGGCAACCCCTGAGGGAGGTGGAGCAAGCCCCAGGCCATCCCTCCGGACTCAAAAATTGATGTAATATCGAGCAGGCATTGCCTGCATACCAGATATTACACTGGTAAGAACAGTTATTTCTACTTGATCTTAGCCACGAGAGGGCCGAGAAGCGATGCTGAGATGTTTTCCAGCACCTCTTTTATACTGGAGACCGGCACAAACACTTGTGGTTTTCCTAAAATATTCATGACATTCCTGGGCACTTTCAGTAAAATAGAATGTACATCCTTTGTCGTGGTTTCCATGAAAACAAACCACGGAAAAGCCTTTGGACATCACCTGGAGAAGAAACACCTCCCTTGCTATATGGGAGACTTCATGATCCGATGGAAATACTGATGTGAATGAAGGACACTCAATTTCATTAGCCCTAGTACGTCTCAGTCTGTTCAGCAGTAACCATACGAAAACTTTAGTGTTTCAGTGGAAGCAAATGTCAAACTTCACACAATCTAATATTGCTGGCCCTTGAATGAAACTCTCTCGCTCACAAAATTTCACAGAGACAACTTTTGCAGGCAGCTTATAAAGAAATTTGGAGATTTCTTCCTTTAAAAGTTTCCCTCAGTAGATATTTTACAATAGAGAGACCTGCTAGTAGCATGAAGAGTTGTCCAGATTGTGGGTTGAGTCCCACGGCAGCTCTCGGGAAGTGGTAGGCAGAGGCAAAGTGGTGGAGAGAGAGGTGAACTAGACTGAGGTTATAGAGGATCTTCCACTCGAAGGGAGCGAGGTACGTGGGGACTTAGACTGACAGCTTCACTCCACCTCTCCACTGCCTGACACATACACATGCAAGAAAGAAACGGTGAATGTTTTCTGAATGTGATAGAAAAGTATGCAGTGAGTAGCTTCTTAATGCAATAAAACTGACCTTTGTTAAAATTTACATGCACAAGGGTATTGAGTGGCCTATGCCTACTTACTTGTTACTTCATTTTAGACGAAGTTTTGAGGCACGAAATTTGTTGTTGAGCAATGACAAGCAGATTTCGAGACTCAAAACCTAGTCTTAAATGAAGTGTCTGTGCCGATATTAGTAGAGATTTCCCCTCATACGGTGTATATAGGTGTGGCTCTCCTCTACTGCAGTGTGTGATGGACAGAGTGACGGGGGAGCCGACGGACCAGCTGTCTCCACTGGCCCGGAGATGGGTGGAGTCCCTGGGCTCCTACTCCACCACAGTCTCTGGAGTCATAGCCGGCAGAGACAAGACTGTCTTCACCGCCATCACTGACTCCCTCACCTACCAATGATCATAAGGTACGTATAACTGTACAGTTTGCTTCACAATAGCAAGAGAACACCATCAAAGCTGCAAGGCAAGGGCAAGTAAACTACCCAGAGGATGTTTGATAAGAACAACACACACTGAATGCTATCAAAAGCCCTTGCTTTTGTGTGTGTACTGTGAAACGATAACGCACTAAAGTGCAAACCCTCGGCAAATACACAGAGCGAGCGGATGCGGTCGAGGTAAGCCTGTGCTAATTTGCATAATGGCTTTTTCACTTGGTTTTCACACCATAACTCTCGAACGCAGTACTTTTAAGTAAATGGCCAAATTCAAAATCAAGCCAGTGTAGCACTGAACCACCTATTGGTATCGCTCTCTTGTCTCGTTGGCAGAAAACATGGTAGACAGACGGACAAACATACTAACGGCATAACCCTCGCTGCGCATGCGCGCCGAGGGTTAATGAAGTCCATCTTGCTACTGTGATTTGTATTATGTCCATCCTATCTCATCAAAAATGGACATTACTGGACAGAGATTTCTCAATACCCGGTGGAGAACTTGGTAATAGTCTTTCATGCAAGTCCATGTTTGGTTATCTAACTAAGGTCTGGTTACGTGTGCAGGTCCAACTCTGAAGGTGCGGCATTTTGTTGTGCACAAGAAATATGCAACAACCATCGAAACACTGTATCGGACGTAACCATATCACCACCTCGTTTTTATCATCATTGTATATCATTCGTCATTATGAAGTCACAATGCTAACTGCTATAAAGAACATCAAAAACATGTTAAGGTTCAGTTAATGCTACTTTGTACAGCTATAATGTAACATAAACTAGTTGTGTGAAATATGTCCATAAGCCTCATTGGTGTTGAGTTCAATGGGAGGTGTCTTCTCCAAGGGAATGTCCTCATAAACAGGAGGTATCTCAGTCTGGCCTCTCTTCCCCTTCCTATGACAGTGACCATGACAATGAGTCAGTAGAACACCAAGTAGCAGTCCAGCAGTGAAGCTACACACTACACACACTACTCCTGTTGTGGCCACTGCTTCTGCTGTACTCAGAGCTGCACTAGAACTCTTTTTGCCATCTTCATTCATAGCTGTGTCACAGAGTATCATGAGGATGCATGCATACGCTTTATGCATTGGTCTTACTTGGTAGTGTCACTGATACTGAGGGAGCTGTGCAGGTTAATTAATTAAGTGTAATAATTATGTTTACGATATACTCCTGTTGTGACCACTGCTCCTGCTGTGCTCAGAGAACTGCCTCCTTTATCACCATCTGTGGAGATATAGCCTGTACGACTCATTCTCTAAGTTTCAGCCTTACTCATTGTTGGCATAATCGGTGTAACTGCTGGCACGACTGCATAATAATTATTGGGTCAAATGTGTAGTTAATGACTAGTCATGGTATACTATACCTGATGGTTGGACACAGGTGACATCATCGCTACTAGGCAGCCATGTTAGAGAAGGGAGAGAGCATGTGGCCACAGTCTCTCCCACCAGAACCAGGTGGGTGTCACAGGAGTAGGTGACCTGTGCTCCTACTCTGGAACTGGTCCACTCACCAACACTGCCATTCACTGGTGGACTGGGAGGACCACAGCCAGCTGAGGGAGAGGCAAATCATCTTAATGTCGCACTAGCGTAAATCATTGCCATACATATGGTGATGTGGTAGTCATGTGGCTCACTTCCCCTGTACAATCCACGGCCACCACAGAGACTTGTAGAGGAGTATTATACTCTGTGTTCATAGGGAATGTCCTCATAAACAGAGGTATCTCAGTCTGGCCTCTCTTCCCCTTCCTATGACAGTGACCATGACATTGAGTCAGTAGAACACCAAGTAGCAGTCCAGCAGTGAAGCTACACACTACACACACTACTCCTGTTGTGACCACTGCTTCTGCTGTACTCAAAGAACTGCCTCCTTTATCACCATCTGTGGAGATATAGCCAGTACGACTCATTCTTTAAGTTTCAGCCTTACCCGTTGGTGGCATGATCAGTATAACTGTTGCCACTGGAGTTTTGCTGGTCACTATACTTGAGCTGGTTAATACGACTGAATATTGGGTCAAAATAATTGTAGTTAATGACTATAATAGTCATTGTACTAAAAATACCTGGTGGTTGAACACAGGTGACATCATCACTACTAGGCAGCCATGTTAGAGAAGGGAGAGAGCATGTGGCCACAGTCTCTCCCACCAGAACCAGGTGGGTGTCACAGGAGTAGGTGACCTGTGCTCCTACTCTGGAACTGGTCCACTCACCAACACTCCCATTCACTGGTGGACTGGGAGGACCACAGCCAGCTGAGGGAGAGGAATCAATCTTAATGTTAGCAAGCTAAGTCATCATTGCCATACGTATGGTGATGTCGGTAGTCATTGGCTCACTTTCCCCTGCACAATTCACGGCCACCACTGAGACTTGTAGAGGAGTATTATACTCTGCTGTCAGACAGAGTTCAGTGGATGTTTGGTTATATCTCATTCCAGAGCTAGTGTTAATCAGGTAGTACAAATCAGACTTCTGTCTCTGCCATGTGAGGCAGATTGTAAACTCCTCAATGGAAAATCACTAACTATGTTGACATTGACATCTGGAGGAAATGGAAGACCTGCATACAAAATACATTATCTAAAGGATTGGTAGCATAAAGGATCTTGATAGTCGTACTAGCTATCACACATTGAGTTTTGGCAATCACAGTGACCTTGTTTGAAAATGAGAAGAGAGGCCACAGAAGATAGTGTATAACAGGTGACATTTGTTTCATTCTGTATTCTATCATTCACCACCACATCCAGAGTGGAGGTAAAGTTGCCACGAAAGTCACCCATCATCAGTTCCCTGGCCACTAGAGTGATAGTGAACACATCCTCCACTTGTCAAGGATCTCCAATATCAGGAAAGATTGATCCCTGAGAAGGAGAGTTGTCTTCATTGAGAAGAGGTGGAGCAAACCATTTGATACCCAAGACTAGAGTGTCTGAGCAGGTGAACGTGATGGTTGTATCGGGACACACTGTCACATGTCCATTCTCAGACTCCACTGATGAGGACAGTATTATCCCATTGGTAGTTGGTGATAAAACTGAGGGAATTGGAGGTAGTGAAATTATGTATAGTACATATATAATACCACATCTTACTTTGACAAAGAAGAGCAGTAAAGAAAAGTTTGATCTGAAGCTAAAGAAAAGAAGCAGATAAAGTTTCAGATTTTATGATGCCAACTGGATCTGATCTCACCATTTGCAGGTATAAGACTGAAGTATAGCTACAAGGAGAACCTTTGGACAACTAAGACTCTTAGACTCCGCACCCTAAAAACACTATACTATCATTCAAGCAGCAAAATTAATCACTGGCAAAGAGCTTACAGCATGGTCAGCATTTTCCTGACCTCATGCATGAACTCTGAACAGCATGATGTGGAGGAGTGTATGAGTGTTTATTTAGGAAAAGAATGGCATGCTTTCGCAAAAACTCACAACCCTTTATGTCTTTGTAAACAATAATATACAATATGTGTAAGGTGTTT